AGGACAAGGATGATGTTCTCTGGGCTTGGAACAAGTTATTTAAAGATATTTGTGATTTACGTGCACCGACAAAACACATTAAGATCCGGAGTCAATCTTCTCTCTGGATAAATAATGATATCAGACGAAAGATGAACCTAAGGTATAAGCTGTTTAAGAAAGCAATTAGCACTAAAAATCAAGAAATTTATGCCAGATACAAGAAAGTTAGAAATGAGATTACATCTGAAATAAGAAACGCGAAGGCGCAGTTCTTCAAGGAAAAGTTAGCCGGAAGTTAAATCTACAGCGGCTTACTGGAAGTTAATTGCAGATGCGACAAATCCCGTCAGTAGAAATAGAATTGGACCTTTAAAGAGGGAGGATGGAGGCCTTGCCGTCAACGACGCAGAAAAGGCTAACCTAATAAATGACTTCTTTGCCAATATCGGCACTAGACTTTGTCTCCCTCGCAGCCGTTTTTTGGGGGAGCGTTGCGTGACATCCGAAAAAACGGCTGCGAGGGAGACTACACTAGACTTAGACGAGCCAAAAGAAAATTTCCACACTTGGGCGACCGCATCAGTTGCTTAGGGCCCGCTGTGACTGAAATTATGTAAATTGAAAGCCATCAATCCAAATAAATCTGCGGGTCCTGATGACATTGCACCTAAATTATTAAAACTGGCTGAGCCTACGATTGTCTCTCCCTTGGCTGATCTATTCTCATTCAGGGCTCACCTAGGAGAAACCTTTACCGACTGGAAGAAGGCTCGTTTGATTCCAGTGTATAAAAAAGATGATGAAGCTGACACAAACGACTATAGACCTAGATCGCTTATTAGTGTTCCAAGCAAAATAATGGAATCTTGTGCATCAGAATCTCTTGTTCGACATGTTTTCCAGAATAACCTAATTACAGATAAACAGTGGGCTTACCGTGAGGAGCACTCAACTGAACTATTGCTTGTACACCTGTCGGAAATCTGCAGAACAGCTATTGATGCTGGNTAATAAGATATATATATTCTACCTCTGGGAAAGAAAAGGATAGATCACCTAAAACGAAACTATTTTACGCTATTGCGGTAACCCTTTTTACTTCAAACCTCACGGGTCTCTAGGATATACCTTAAACTTCATGTGAAATGCAAAAGAAGGATGTTCCGAAACCATATTAAGTGTGAAATATTTCGGGCCATCTTAACAGAAATCTTAGTAAATCAGCGTGTACATTTTTTCCCCGTGATTTGATCAATCAAATGAAAATCATAATGAGTGAACTGTTTACTGCTATTTGCAACAATCGGAAGTTTAGATCCCCTCAATACTGCAATCTTTTCTTGAAGGATCGACAGCTATGGAAGGCCTAAACCCTCATTCAAACCTGGCCGATACTTATGAACCTCTGAAATGATTTGGGTTGGTCAAAGCCATTGAGCAACAAAATTCCCGGAACTACCACAATTCCCCTACTTCATTCAACCCAAACGAACAAAAATGCTTTATTTTAACCACTGGAGCCTTTAATATCGCAACTCGGCCAGAAATAATTATCCATCCCAGAATATCATCATTACAAAAAAGATCTGCCATCAAAATGCGTATTATTTTGGAAAATATTAGGCTAATTGACGACAGATTATACTTTCAAACGAATCTTAATTATATCTTAATTTTCTACTGCGAGGATCGTGCATCATACAAATCTTAATTATGTACGTTTTCCTTAAATAATTACGTAGGATATATTCCTTAGTGTTGCGACTTTTTTCGTTTATACCTTTGTCTCGAAAACCAGTACATGAATACGGTAAGTTTATAAATGCGAATTAATTTCCTACTTTATTCCAGTTTCACAGTTCGGTGTAATGATCAAGTAAAACTACCACTATCTTTACAAGTTCTTTGTTTGTATAATTCGATAGTGCAACTGTGTAACGCACCTATCTGAAAGTTATCGATACTGTAAAAATAGAGGACAAAAAATTGAAACGTATTAAGCTATGAATTAAGAACATGGACAAACTTTTGGTTAAGAACATCACATCTTATTCAAGAATAACTCTAATCTACTCTTATAATTACTTAAAATGCTAAGACATAAAAAGCTACCTAGATGTCCAAGTCGATAATGTAATTCAAGTAATACTGTACTATTCGCTCCGACGAAGGGCTAACCGGCTCGAAACATCAGCTTTTGTAATCGTTACGGTGGCCAATTTACCATTTCAACTTTGGTTACAATGAATATATGAAGTTCATATATTTTGAACTGCGGTTGTAGATACGTATGCTTAACGGCCTGCTCCCAGTTGGCTCGTTAGCTCAATTTGTAGAGCACTGCACTAGTATCGTAGAGGTCAGTGGTTCGAATCCCGTACATGCCTGATTTTTTTCAGGTCCGATATTCGCTATTGCATATATAGCGCTATCTACCGCGAGGATCGTGCATCATACGTATCTACAACCGCAGTTCAAAATATATGAACTTCATATATTCATTGTATCTGATTTATCATCACGGGTTTATTACGAATCAACTTAACGGCCTGCTCCCAGTTGGCTTGTACTTCCCGACTCTCCTCAACTCTTGTGCCAGCGGCAGACTCCTCAACGACATGTTGTGATATGGTCACGCAACAGAGTTTCTTCGTCCGTCTGAGCCATTCGAGTGTGATAACTGGACCCAAAAGAAACCAGTAATAAAGTCTTTTTAAGTATTGTTTCATGTATTTGAGGTTGTCAGACTCTCCTGTTATTATTATATTCACACTGGTTTTGTCTACAGCTTTAAGGAAAACGCTATAAAGAAGAGGTCCTCGTGTATTGGTGTTATTGTCACACCACCCAGCAGATGCAAAGGGAATAAACACCTCCTCTTGCATATGTGGTTTTGTTGCATTTCCAAGTGGTCCATAATTTTCTTCCTGAAAATATATCACCACAGAGTACCCGGCATTCTGCGCATTAAGTACTAGATTTCTCGACAAACATACCGTCTTGTTCTCAATCCTGACGAGAGCGATTTTGTTGATTTGCATTTTCGCCTTGTTTACATCAACTAGAGGTTGACAGGCATTGGCCAGTGTGGAAAGCACTCCTAGACCACTTAATCGGAGATCTTGGTCCTCGTTAGTTGTCGATGCTTGCAGAAAAGATTGCAGCGAAGGGCGATAATCGTCAAGCCATGGCGATGAGAGATCGCAGACTACTTCCGGAACACTTGAGAACGACAAAGTTGTTCCGCTATTATGTGCAATAGGTATACTGCCGAAACCAAGATAGAGACACAAATAAAATAGGCCAATAGTAAAGACGACAAAGCAGAAAGAACCACCAATGACCAAGCATTTCGCTGACATAGTGACTTCCAATGCAAAAGTGACTTCTAGAAAAGCTAACCTTGAAAAGGAATGCATATAATTTCGTACCGCTGACCGAAATAATACAATGCAACAGATAAGTAATTGAAGATTTAACAGATAGAATGGTGTTAACCTCCTTTGTGCAGTGTTTTCATCAAGTATCAAATGTGAACAGTCGAGTCAAGTTAAAAATTCAAATTTAATTGATCGAGTTTGCTTCGTCAAACAAGTCTTGTACTACTGCAGCTGGGAATATCGCTATTTAAATCACGGGAATGACAATTAACACTCCCTACCTGTTGATCCTTCAAGAAAAGATTTCAGTATTGAGGGATTTAAAATCAATTAATATTTTGATTCTTACAAATAGCAGTAAACAGTTCAATCATTAGGATTTTCAATTGAACGATCAAATCACGGGAAAAAATTTAACATTAATTGACCAAGCTTTCCATGCTTTCCATTGACTAAGATTTGCAATTAAAATGGTTTCGTGGTGTCTTTCTTTCGAATTTCACATGAAGGAAATAGTATCTCCCTGTGACTTATGAAGTATGAGATTAAAGGTTGATTTAACCCTCTGTAACATCTCTAACATCAGCGTACATTTTCTTTATGCTGTTCTCAATACGTTTCTTATGGCGCTAACAAGGAGAACTTTTTGAACAATCAATAGCTTCTTTAGTCGCTGATCATTTCCTTAATTCTCACAACCTTAACGTTTGAGACAGGGGAGATATTGTAAGTAAAAATTAGAGGCCAGTTACTCTTGGAATGACAGTGCCCTCAAAAACCAAAAATTGACTGCTATGTACATCACTGTAGGCTACACCGAAAGACCCCAAACGAGAACTCCTGTGGACTTGCAAGTTTAAAGGTTATGTGCGATGAAGACTCGAAAATCGGAGTCAGAATGAGGTTAAATACTGCCGTACAAAAAGATTAAGTTCATTTTGTCTAGCTAGGGAACTTCCAAATTAGATAAAACACTGCGACTGTGTCACTTTTAACATACATTCCCTTGCAAAATGGATCTTGGAATTCCTAGGAATTTTTTCCTAGGAATTCCTAGGAATTACTGTGAATAAGAGGTGTGCATTTTCACGGTAAATTCGAACCGGGAATTCCTAGGAACTCCTAAGAATTCCCCAAAAGCTAGAAATTCCCCAAAAAACCTAGAAATTCTCAAAAATTCCACGTTTATAAGCCAACGGGACTTGGAATTCCTAGGAATTTCTGGGAATTCCTGGGAATTCATTGGAATTCCAACTCAGAGCACTAATGACTTCCCTGAAATACTGTGAATCTAAAGACTTGCTGGAAATTCCAAGGAATTTTCAGGAATTTCTATGAATGTTTAAGAATTACTGGGAATTTTAGGAATACTTCAAGGCAACTAATATCTAATAAATATATGCATTTACTCCCAACTATAAATTCAAGTAGTCAATGAAATTTATTTACATGCTAACTCAGATTTACATGTTAATTATATGCTATTGTATAATAACATCAACAGGCAGTAATATTAGGATGAAATTTCTTTTTCTCTTCTTAAAAACTTCGTAAAAATTATCTTTAGTTACAGCTATTCATTTAAAATAGTCCTGGTGAATTTGGTTTGACAAAAAATGTGAATAAAATCTATTGATTCTTTTTCATGAAAATGCAATAACTTGGGTTATGTTTATTGCAATAAATACTATCAGTCAAAAAATAGTCCTGAAAGGAATCATTTAATTTGGGATGATGATACAAATAACATTATTATCCTTTCCTCCCTGAGTCAGGCTTTGACTTAATTTAATGTGGTTGTAACTTCTTTGGATAAAACTCGAAGCTGTCAAGCAGCATCTTCATGCTATGTTGCTTGTTTTTGTTGATTCTGCAAGTTGAAATTGAGAGATTTCTTCTAAATTTTGACTGAACACTCTTGGGAGTGAAGGGCCTAATTAACAATTATTCCACGAGTGCGCGTTGGATATGAGATGATAGATAGCCAACGAGGCGCGTAGCACCGAGTTGGCTATAATCATCTCATATCCAACAAGCGCGAGTGGAATAATTGTTTTGTTAAAAACGCCCCCAAGAAATTATTATTTTGTAAGAAGAAACTAGATTTTTTAGCTCCCTTTTGATTTTAAGCTGACGCGTACGCTTACCATATTTGTAGATTATGGTATATTGGCTGATATACCATAATGGCTAAGCCAATAAAAAGTCTTGAATTGCATTATCCAATGATCTAGTTTTTAATAATTACAGTTAAATAATTGATTTTTTAAATTAAATTCTTGTTGTAACTGTAATAATTAATTGCAATGAAGTTATCTCAAACTGCAGACTAAGCAGCTGTTTGTCTTTTTCTGCTGGGCTCGCAGCTTCAGTTGCCAAATTCCAAACGCGACTAAACTAATCCTGAAACCTTTAGCCTACTGATAGATTTATTTCATTGAAAAGCGTAAGTTTAAGAAACTGTGGCATGCATGTGACCGATTCG